AAAAATTATTCACTACTTTTCAGTCCTTGATATACATATTCTTTTAAATTATTTTAGATAATAGAAATATCTGTGAAAAAGCTTTTTTTTTGCTTGCAGATTCAAACACAGTAGAACGATGGCATTTTCTGGTCACATATTATGAGAGAAATAATTAGTATTTGTAAAAATACATATTTTTGATGTGAACAATATTTACAGTTTTTGCCCTTTTTTAAAACAATGAATTGAAACTTTTTATTTTAAATAAATTAGATATCTGTAATTATACAAAACAGGGAAAATCTGTAAAATAACTGAATTATTATTATTATTTATTTATTTTTACCATTTTTCAATTATTTTTCAAATTTTTAGACAATAGAAAAATCTAAAATAACTATATTTTTGCAGATTTAAATACAAAAAAAAAAAGCCCAATGTTTTAATGTTTTACATAAAGTTACATTCAGAGGAAACTATAAATGCTAATCATATGTACCTAAGAGCAGTATTGAAGTGGACGTCATGGTGTACTTACACATGTATCCCACTGTTCCCACTCTGCCCTTGATGGTTTGTCCTTCTGGTACGTGAACCGCTAAACCCAGATCTGATATCCTGATGTGGCCTGAAAACAAAAACACATAAAGTTCACTTTCTCTATGAGGTTCGAGTGGAAAATGTGTTTTGTGCTAATTATTGTAGCTTATAGGCAGCAAAAGCAAACGCTGACGTTCTTAAACATGCGAAATCAGCTTTATTCTTAGATTGTCTTCTAACTTAGCCACTAGCCGTTAGCGTAGCCTTAGCCACTGTGGAAGCAGCTCAGCAAACCTCATAGCAACAGCCGCAGTCGAGCACCGCCAGCAAAGTACTGCCCCACTTCGTAACACCTACAAGTGAATTATTGGGGTATTTCAGCGTAACATTAGAAATGCTTGACGAGGACTTCTGCGTTTAGCAAACCTTCCACAGTTTCTGCTACCTAACTATCCCAACACATTTAAGCTAATTCACCGAAGCAGCGCCGCTCTGCCAATGTGCTCGTCCGTCTCTCTGCGTAAACAATGCACTACTACAACTTGCAACCAATCAGACAGCGATGTGGGCCAGCTGCATCTGAGCCAGTCGTTTTGCAATAATCGTAAATTTAAAGCGACGATAGCGATAATCTAAAAATGCCAAATATCGGTGTCGTGTGTCAATAATCAGTTGGCTCGATCTTCAGTGAAAACACATTTTCATTGTGTTTTGTGGTTGTTGTGAAGACATGAAGACGTTTGCTTCTGCCACTCCTCTCATAACCAGTCACCCTCACAGCTTGAGAAGTTAGCAAGAATTTAACTTCTACCTCATGGCTAACTAACCAATAGTCATCCAGCTCACGCTCTATAGCTCCGCCCCCTCAGTGCTTCCAGGTGAACCATTCAGAATGAGCAGCTGCCTCTCAGTTCAACCAGGTTTATTTACTTTCTAGAGCTGCTTCTGCTAAACTCTAAAATATGTAAACGTTCATCAAACGTTCTGCTGTTGGCTGCAAGAGTAAACACAAGAGTCTTCGTGCACTCCCAGCATCTGAGGAGCTAAACATCCAGTGGGGTCATTTTAAAAGGAATTGTCGCCACAATAATAGAAAAATCTTCCGTGTTGTGCGGCTAGTGTGGCTAACATTAGCTTTAATAGAATTAATAGTAGTTGTAATAATAGTAGTAGTTGTAATAGAAGTAAAATGTTTAGAAATTTTTTTAAAGCTGATTTCTGAGCCAGCAACGTGTTGAACTGTGTTTCTATACAGACGTAGTTTGTTGGTTGTTGCTGCCCTCTGTTGCCTCCTTTTCGAAAAGACAAGCAGGTCTTTAAGTTTAGAGCTTATTGTCCTTTTTAGAGCTATTTGTTGGACCATAATTTGTTTTTTTATGGCACTTTATTTGGAGAACCTCCTCCTTTGTCGTTCACCTTTAAAGCAGTTAGATTTACAAAGGACACGATGAATTATTTTAGGCCAAAAATGACTCTAGGTTCCTCTTTCTTTTCCCTAAAAGCCATAAAATACATTTAGAGGCACAAACAGGCAGTTTAGAAGCTGAAGGTTGTTGAGTTTGTCCTTCAGGTTGTTTTAGTCGCCTTATAAAACGTCCATCAAAGTGATAATGAGTTTTAGGTTGGTTTCCTTTCGATGCCTTCAGGTGATCTGAGGAAAATCTGCATCTTTATGCTCATCAGTCGCAGTAATTTTACAGCACAAACAAACAAGCCGACGTCTAAAGTGGCTGGTTTTGATGGAAGATGTTTTACTGCGTCTCTCTGGGATTTTAATCGGCTTATAATTGAGGTTTATTTGTGTCGAACCGTGCTGTTGATCAGATCTGTGCTGGAGCCACAGCGCCCTCTGCTGTCCAGCGCCACACAGTTCATAAATCCAGTAAATCCATTTTTATTAACTTTGTCACGACAGCACCATTATCCACCTGGATGATCACTGGAGTGCACAACTTGTAGTTTAAAAGATTTATGGAACCTAAAAAGTCATTTCTCACAAACGAGTTACGGTCTTAAGAGCTTATTTCACCCACAACACGACTTTCAGTCCGAACTGATGGAGTTTTAAAAGTTTATTCCATCCAAAGCGTACTTTCTAACAAACGAATCAAAGACTTGGCAGGTTTATTTCTTTCAAAAAATACAACTTTCTAACAAACTAGGTTTGGTTTTAAAGGTTTATTGACCCCAAATAATGTTTCATGTCCAAGTATTACTGTTTTCAAAGTTAATCCACCCAAATAGTAGCAAACAAATGATGGTTTTAAAGGTTTACTTCACCCAAAATACTGTTTTCTGTCCAACTACATAGCTAAGTAGAGGTTTATTCTACCCAAACAGGACTTTTTTAAAGAACAAATTATGATTTTAAAGGTTTATTTCAAACCAAAATGCTACTTTCTGTCCAATTACTTACAGTTTTAAAGGTTTATTGTCTCCAAATAGTTCTTTCTAATGAACCAGCTATGGTTTTCAAGATTTATACCACCTAAAAAACTACTTTCTAATGAACAAGTTAAGATTTTAAAGGTTTATTTCAAGCCAAAATACTACTTTCCCTCCAAGTATTTATAGTTTTAAAAGTTTATTCCACACAAATCACTATTTTCCAATGCACAGGTTGTGGTTTTAGAGGTTTTTTTTCACCAAAATACTGTTTTCTGTCCAACCACGTATCTTATTGAAGGTTTATTCTGCCCAAACAGGACTTTTTTAAAAAACAAATTATGATTTTAAAGGTTTATTTCACGCCAAAATGCTCCTTTCTGTCCAATTACTTACAGTTTTAAAGGTTTATTGCCTCCAAATAGTTCTTTATTATTAACAAGTTAAGATTTTCAAGATTTATACCACCTAAAAAACTACTTTCTAATGAACAAGTTACGATTTTAAAGGTTTATTTCATCCAAAATAATACTTTCCCTTCAAGTACTTACAGTTTTAAAGGTTTATTGTCTTAAAATAGTTCTAATGAACCAGCTATGGTTTTCAAGATTTCTAACACCTAAAATACTACTTTCTAATGAACAAGTTAAGATTTTAAAGGTTTATTTCTCGCCAAAATACTACTTTCCCTCCAAGTATTTATAGTTTTAAAGGTTTATTCCACCCAAGTCACTGTTTTCTCATGCACAGGTTGTGGTTTTAGAGGTTTTTTTCACTGACACACTGCTCTTTCCAGTGAATAAATTATGGTTTTAATGGTTTACTTCACCCAAAATACTGCTTTCTGTCTGAGTACTTCTGGTATTAAAGGTTTATTTTTCCAAAAATAGTATTTTCCATCCAAGTACTTATAGTTTGAAAGGTTTATTCTTTCCAAACGGTTCTTTCTAACGAACAAGGTACAGTCTATAGGGTTTACTTCACCCAAAATAATACCTTTCAATAGACAATTTATGGGCTTTAAAGGTCTATTCCACCCAAAACTGTACATAGTTCTTTATTTTTTTTAACAGTATCTCATCAAGGAAGTTGATTTTGACAGATGAACCCTAAATAATAAAAAGATAAAAATAATAATAATAACAATGAAATAGCTAAAAACTATTAAGAATAAAGGAAAAATACTCGAGAACTTTTGCAAGAAAAGCAGCAAACTCCCACATTTTGAAGTTGAAACCATGAAAACTCAAAACCATAAACGTATCATTAGATGCCTCATTTTTTCACCTCACGCTACAATAAATTGGGTTTTTTTTTAAGCTCTTTGTATGTTTTATATAGAAAATCCTAATCAGTAGTGTAGTGGGAGTAAAAAAAAGCTAAAAATCTCCGCCTGAAATGACGCATGACGTGACATGAAAAGGTCAAAACAACTACTTCAGTTATTGAGTGCATACGTAGCTGTGACTCCTGAATAAAACATTATGTATAGATGTTTATTTGCAGTACATTGGAGCGTAAAGGTCCATAACGCTCAAAAACGCAGGACATTTTTACCCATATTGCGTCTGGAAGGTAAATCAGACTCACCGTGGTCGTCCAGCAGGATGTTCTCTGGCTTCAGGTCTCTGCAGGACAAAAGACAGTCAGACTGAGAACAAAGACGATGAGAGAAAGACGTCGGCTGGCGTCGGAGGACGTTCACCTGTAGACGATTCGCTCTCGGTGCAGATCCTCGAGGCCACAGCAGATCTCCGCGGAGTAGAATATCGCCCTCCTCTCGTCGAAACCCGCCTCGCCCATGTGGTAGATGTGAAACTTCAGGTCGCCGCCGTTCATGAGGGTCAGCACGAGGCACAGGGCGTCCTTCGTCTCGTAGGCGTACGCTAAGCTCACCTGGACGGACGGCAGCAACAGGTAAAGGTGAGTGGACTCTGTCCTCCAGGTGAGATCAGAAAGCAGTACGTCTGTGAAGGTTCTCAGTCATCCAGGTCATGGTCTGGTAGAATAATCGTAGCAACTGGACTTTGTTGAGTTTGTTGAAGACATTTCACCTCTCATCCAAGAGGCTAACGAGGGCGAGGAGTAACAACCCCCAACTGAAACCGAAACTCAGGTGTTAATGGCTCCTTCAGGATATCAGCATCTGGAACTCCCAACTCGTCAGTCAGAACTGATGAAGCCTCTTGGATGAGAGGTGAAACGTCTTCGATGAACTCAACCAAGTCCAGTTGCTACGATTAATCTACCAGAATCAGAAATCAGTACAATCATTTCAGACAAACAAACCTCCACGGCTCCGTCCGATGAGCTAAAACACCTGCAACGCCTCTAATGTTTATTACAATGACATGTTAAACACTATTAATAAGGTTTTTTATACAGTTGACCCGCCAGCTTTTGAACTTTTACCACTTTAGCAGCAGAAAACAGATGACATGTACCACAGGCTAACGGTTAAACCACTTATTTATTGCTTTTAACGTTTAAACTAATTGTGTATTACATTTAGCTACGTTAGCTGGAGAGAGACAAAAGCAAGACTTTGCTTTTAAACTGCACCATTGTGACTTTAACTGCACGTTTTTTATGACTTTTGGTGAATTACAGACGTGAGTTGTTCCTGAGCCGCCCAAAAGAGCTACAATGCTATCAGTTATTTCTGTTTGCTAACTAAAATAACTTACGCACAACAAACATTCAGAGCAACTTTAAAGCCGGTTCGTGCGATTCAAACTGCTCTACAGGTGACAAGAAGACACTTTAGATGTAAACATGAGTTTTAAATTAGCTATAATTCAGATAAAACCAGCGGCCTGGACCTAGAGCTGGCTGCGTATTGTTCCTTTAACATGAGCTGCTGTCTGTAGGCCGGTGGTAATTGATAACTGCACGTCAGCACGACTCAGGAAACACAACCTGCTGCCAACACTTTTAAAAAGATTAATAAAGCGGTGCGACTGTGTGTTTTCACTCAGAGCCACGTCGAGCCCTGAGGGAGTCCTCGGGCCTGGGAGTCCGGACGAGTCGACTGACTGCCGTCCAAATCAAATAATCTCAACCAAGGCCATCTGGTCGACGGCGGAGACAGAACAAACCTCCGTGTTGTCTTTTAATTACAGCAGCCGTAAATGTCGCATACATCACGTCCGACTGACGCACGCAGATTTCTGAGGAGGGAGTCATGTGAAGAGTTTATGAGTAAATGTCTTCTTCTGGGACAACTGTGAACGTTAAAGGACAACTCTGGTGATTTATGTTAAAACAAAAACTTGCATGTGCACCTCAGACGCTCACGAGAGCACCAAGTGTGTATCAATCCGCTGCTGAAAGTAGTCCCCCAGCACATGCAAACCTCCTCCTGTTTTAGCAACGTGAGTTTAACACTTCAGAAGTTATGATCAGTTGGTTTCTAATAAGAAAAATGATCCCAAGATAATAATGACACCTTACTAGAAGCTTCTAGAACAAATTAGAAATGACCAGGATCACGTGGAACAATGTGGACGTAGCATTTCCTTTAAAATCTGCATCAATCTGAAGAGATACGAATGATTTGGGGTTATTTAATCTATCCTTTACATCTCTAGGAAAATGTCTTGCTGTATTTGTATGGCTTGTTTATGTCATTTACATCCACAAGAAACCTATTTGTGAAATAAAGATTCGCTGTAACTTGGGGCTTAACTGCAAGTAGTGTCGTTTTAATATGGAAATACACGTAATATTTAAATTTATCACTTTACAATCAACAACAGATGGAAGAAAATGTTGCTTTGGTGTACAAATAGGAGATTTAAAACAAAAGATTAGATAAAAATAACAATAACTGGTGCAAAAGTCAAAAGGAAAATGCATCTTAAATGAGCATTTCTCAGTTTAGTGTAACGATGATTCAGTTTTTCACTTCAGACTTTGATCCAAAGTCAGTGTACGAGTTTATTTTCTGCATTTTGAGTTACTTTTCATGTTTTTTTTTAATGCAAAATGAAGATAAAAAGCCAGTAATGAAAGCACCACAACCCAGTTTAACGATTTCTCCCTCAGCGCCACTGTTTTTATGGATATTTATCAAACTTACAACGAATCTGCTGTTGACTTTCTCCAGGATCTGCTTCTCGTTGAGCGCCATCGACTCGCCTTTCCTCTTCTTTATCCTCTTCTTCTCCAGCTTCTTGCAGGCGTACATTTTCCCGGTGGCTCGTACCTGACATGCACACACCTGCAGAGGGCGACGCCGTTTTATTATATAGTTAGAATAAAACGCCGCTAATAGGATTCTGACTTCACGTTTCTGGGAACAAATCTGATAAAATGAGGAGCTGTCCCACTTTATCTGACTTCTCTGCTCATCTTAAAGTGAACTGTAGCTGTAAGCGTGAACGAGAAGTGAGCGACAAAGAAAATAAAGGCAACATGAAGTGACAAACCTCCCAAGATTTAAGGAAAAACAACATCCAATAAAAACTTTAGTGTGTATGTGATGCAAAATCACCAGTAATGTTCAAAAACATACATTTTTACAGCATTTTGAGCTGCAAAATGAGTATAATCTTATAAATGGTGGTTCACTTTTTGGTTAAATTAGAGATAATATCACAGAAAAAACAGATTAATTAAACTGTAAAAAAAAAAATCCTCATAATTGCGTCCACATTAAAACACTTCTGCTTTGTTCTTTTACACGTTTAACCATAAACTTACAGTTTTATTGTATTTAAATGAGGAATTTTCCATTTTTTAAAAGAAAAATTATGTATATTTAGGATTGAAAAATGGTGAATAATATTTTATAGTTTTTGTGGTGTTGCTCTTTTTCTTTAGATTTCTTTCTGTTGCTGAAAATATCAAAGAAAATCAAAGAAAAAAGGAATTATTTTACACACAGACCATAAAAAACAGAACAAAACTGTGCATTATGTTCACATCAGAAATCTGCATCTTTTACAAAGTTTGATTCTGATTTAGTGTATTTAAATTCACTAAAACATAATTATTTTTCAGACATTTGCTTTTGTTTTTAACATATTTTTCTTTTGCAGTTTGTTTTTTAATCACACTCATTTATTTATTTAAAATGGGCTAAAATGTCATTTATTTAACAATTTCCATAATTTAAAGAAAAATTATGTGTATTAAATCGAGAATATTATTTTAATATTCAATATATATATTTACATATACATTTTTTTGCAATATTTTTTAAATTATATATATTTAATTTTTAGATTTTTAGACCATATGTATTCTTTAAAATTTAATATATATTTTGCTATTTTAAACTGTTTTTTAAAACAGATTTTTCCTTTTTTTTGTTTAATTACTGATAATCTCTGACCACAAAATAAAAAAAATATAAAACACTAATATAAGGAGACCACAGTGACCGTGTTCAGAAACTGCTCAGAGCTCCAAAGGTTAAATTTTCTTAAAGGCTTGATAAACACAAACCAAACCGACTCTCCTCCCTGCAGTTGTTGTTAATTTCCTTTGTTGTTAGTGTGATTTATTGCTCTGTATTTGAGCTTCTCTGCGGCTCTGATGAATCCGTTTCAGCTTCAGAAGAACAACATCGATCGCCTCGTGACGTTCGTACGTTTAATCGCTCATCAGCGTGCGATCAGAACTCATCACACCGACAGAGACGCCGTTCAGCGGCCTGTCACCACATTTGCTCCTCTTTCAGGCTTTTCTTTAAACCGTAAATAAGTAACTCCTCTTTCTGTCTGTCTCTTCTTTGGCCACAGTGAGGCGCCCTGGACACAGGATGGGGCTCTAATGGGCCTAATGTGGACCTAACTGAGGGATAATGTGATTTATTGCTGAGCAGCCTGGGAGGAGCCGGCGTCATTAACTCAGCATGACATGTTTACTTGTTCTGCATTTGCGGAAACGTGCAGAAACATCTGCGTGGGCCGTAATTTAAACAGCTTTCCAAGGAATTTCATTTACGCACTCGTGACTTTTACACACGGTGAGAGAACAAAAATCCGACCTGAGGGAGGATTAAAACAGAACTCTGGACATCAGGATGTCGCACCTTGATGAGTTCTTCTGAAAAACCTCCTCACTGAAGCTGATTCCTGTGATTCAACGCGACCAGATGATTAATTCAGCTGCTTAGGAGTGAAAAAAAAAAAAAACTGCCAATACTCACTTCTCCAAAGCCGCCTTTTCCTAAAACTCTGTACTGTCTGAACGTGTTTTTCGTCACCGGTTGTCTGTTGGACAGAAAGAAAAAAAAAACACTTTTTAACAAACATTTAAAACAAATAACTGGTCCAAGCTGTGCAGGTGGATGAAAAAAAGCAGTTTAAGGCCAGTTTCTATAAAGCTGTGGTTTGACTGGAAAGCAGAGAATAAAACATGAGCTGACACCAGGAGGCGGTTTTGTTTGTCTTCTGCCCACGTCGAGTCGTTTACTGCTTGATAACCTCTGATTCTCCGGCTGCTTTTCAACATTTGCATTCTTCAATAACTCGTATTGTTTTGCTATATTTGCATGCGCCTGTGCGTCTATCAGGAATTTCTTTGCCAAAACAAGGACTCTGTGTCACCCGTTGACGTCCGTTGGAAACCAAATCCTCTCTGCAACGCTTCAATTACTGTTCGTGGAATAAAAACACACGAGCAGCTAAAAGGACCACGTAAGAATTCCCAGCGAAGACTTTTGACCGTTCCTCAGTTCGATCAGCCCGTCAGTCTGCAGCTGAACATTCAGTGTCCAGCCTGGGGCATGTTTTTTGTCTTAGTTCCTGCCTGTAAGAAGCTCTTCAGAAGCCCTGATGTGGTAAAAAAGACCTCCTGCAGTCTTTACATCACGAAATAAACAAGAGCTGCATTCAAATCACGAGGAGGTGCTTTGAACAATACAAGTCGTCGTTTGTGTAGCAGCAGCTGAGCACAAAACGGCAGCGAGCTTATTATTTAGAAGGTGATAAATATGTTACTCCACTGTCTTGGGGTTTTATTTATTTGGTATTTGGGACACAAACCTTCAAAAAGGGTTCAATATCTCCAGAAATATATTGGCTACAGCCATGACATCTGGTGAGAACACAGAAAGAATAGTTTCCAGCAGATCCAGTTAATTAAATGGCTCCAACAGGGGCCAAATTTTTTAGTTATCGGAGCTTAAAAATGGAAGACGGCGCAAAATTGTCAATTCAGGGTGGCATTGTGACCCCAGAAAGTTCCTCTGAGTTTGTAGACATGGATGGAGCCACATTTCCTTCTAAAGATCAACGCTTTGGTCGACATTTCACCAACTTTTGAGGCTCTAACGTCAGTTGAGTTGGATTTGTCACAAGTATGGCGAGACAAGGTTCCAGCTTTTTGCTATGTTGACAAAATGGTGACAGAACCACACAAAAACTGGGTCTACGTGCTGTCGTTGTTGAGATTTAACAACACACGAGGCCTGTTTCTGTCTGACTGAATGTTCCCCGGCAGAGAAAAACTGATGGAAAGTCAACAGAAATCAGTTTGTCCAGTTTGTATCGTCTTTACCTGCTCGTAGTAGTCGGAGCTGAGATGGTGACGGAACATGGACGATTAAAGCCAAACACACCCCTATTCACACCAGTTACTGAGCTCCTACCAACGAGTCCACATCACCAGTTTGTCAAAATATCAAAGAACTGGAACACTGGCTTGGCGTCGTTGATGTTAGAGCCTCAAAAGTTGGAGAAATTCTGACTAAAGACTGTACTTTAGTAGGAAATATGGAAACATCCATATATATATACGCTCAGAGGAACTTTATGGGGCCCCAATATTACTATTGTTTAAAATGCAGTCCTTTCCTGCTTTTTTAGGAGCCCATCACTAATAAATCATTTGGATCTGCTGGAAACTATCCCGTCTGTGTCCTGATGTTGGACACTTCAAACAGCTTCCCAGGTGGTATTTTGAGAGTGAAAATACCTAAAAAAGTCAGATCTGAATTCTATGAAATTCCACCAATATTCCTCAGAACTTAGTTGTAGGTCCTAAATAACAGAAGAGTAAACTCTGAATCCAAAAGCCCCTTCGGTAGTTTGGTTTGCTAACAAACACTGAATCATGTTTCTTTGGGGTTTTGAGCGACGCTGAGCTTTAGAGGTTTAGCTCGTCGGTCTTGAAGGATAACAAACTCTCCGTCGTCGAGGGAATTCAGCGGCTCTGAAATTCAAGGCCGTCAACCCTCCTCAGTTCCTGGAAAGTCGAACGTGCAGCCTTTATCTGGCGAGCAGCAACCAACACGCCTCCGTCAGCTGTAAATACAGAAGAAAACCCGATTCTCTCCTTGTTTTGTCTGCTCCCCTTCCTGTCACTCAGTCATCAGGCCTGATGTTTTGTGTTCGCTAAACCCCTGAGCATTGACCAGCTTCCCAAGTGGCTCGCTTCAGCGAATCCTTGATGAGCAGCTTAGCCGCGAAGCCTAAACACTCGGTTTGTTTACGGCATCACGGACGCTTTCAAAGAAGAGTCTGGGAACCGCCGGGGATCCCAGATAAACTTTGTGAACCTGATAACGCTCAGAACAACCGTCACCGCCTCGTATGATGGACTTATTGTTCCGCCAACAAATTAACACCCACAACAAGACGGTGGAATACCAGGAATCAAGATCCCCGTGTTTCCCGGCAGTCCTCGTCTGGAAAACCACCTGTGGGAACTTCTCTCCAGTGTTTATACACGATCACTGAATCTAATGCGCTAAACTGTGTGACCGCACCGACGTCTCAGTTCACAACGTTGTACGAGTAAATGACAGATAATTAACAGATAAAACAGTTAAATTCAGGCAAAGAACAAGAGGATCTACGTGTGGTTTGGATCATTCTGTATAAAATCTGCCATTTTTAACACTCACAAAATAAAGGAAATTGTAAAATATGAGCTAAACATGATCCTTTATGTCACACATTTGTCGTAAATGTTCATCATTTTCTTACCAACTTCAACGTTATCGATTAATAATCTGGCTGGAGGTCATAAACCTCCACAGAAGTCTATGTCTCGTTGCCCGTTGCTAGCTAAACACATCCCACAATGCTCTCTGCTGCCAACATGTAGTCTTAGTGACGCCTCCTCTGGTCTCTACAGTATTAAACAGTGAGAGGCTCCACCTGGTGGAACAAGCAGGTACTACAGCTGATCTATTTGCAGTATGCAGGTGGTACTTTTTATTTACTTACATTTAGTTTTACCTGTTTGGAGAAACTGTGTGTTTTCAGTCAAATACTGGCCATTACAATTGAAGTAGTTCTCGTCCAGCTTTAGTCAACTGAAAACATTTTAGTCTAGTTTTTGCATTTTTAACTTTTGTTAGCATCCAGCCTCTTCAGGCCACAGCCATCTTTGTGTACCGTTACCGTGTCAATCCTGGCTTCACGTCACATGTCTGGAGGTCATAAAGTGTTTGTCATGGCGCCCCTTTACTCCTTTACTAGCTAAATCCCCACAATGCTGAGGGACACCACCTGGTGGACCAACAGCGGATCTACACGGTTTTCAGAGTGCAGGCGGTCATTTTCACAGCTGATTTTGTTCAGTTTTAGCCTTTTGACGAAATAGTGTGTTAGTTTTAGTGAAATGCTGTTTGATTTGTTATTATTTTTAGTCAACATAACTAAAAACATTTCAGCCTCACAAGAGTCAGTGTCATTTAGTTCTTCTTTGTGTACAGTCACCAGGTTCATTCCAGCTTCACTCACACTGGCCGTCGGGCATTATTCTACAATTCCACAATTTCATTTAGCTTTTATCCAAAGAGACGTACATCTGAGAGCAGATACAACACAAGCAAGGACCTGGTCAGGAGAAGAAAATCTGGATAAGTGCCATAGAACAAGGTCAAGTGTGACAGGGCCAATAGCATCAACGCATTAGGCATCAGAAGCGTATTCGTTTGTCATGCTGCCCCTTTACTAAGAGGTACTACAGCTCATCCACAACACTTGAAGTGTGTTTTATCTGGCAAAATGGTATCAGGCAGTGGCAGGTACTGTATACTAAGTGACTCTGATCTTATTGTAGATGTAGTTTCATATGTGGGGTGGATGCATGCTTTTCCATTTGGGTTTAGCTGAAAGATGGACATTCCATGAAAGGAGGGGAACATGAAGAGAGGCATTCTGGGATGGCTTCAGATTTCTATCCCATTAAAACGTCCCTCTAGGTTGCTACAGAATCTACTAGAAAAGCTTTTATCTACACTGCTTCAAACACCGTCTCAGAGCTCTTCCTAAAGTGCCGTTAATTCTGATTTTTGTTTCCAGACAAATATGTAAACACGTAGCTCGGTGCACCTTCAAGGAGACTCGTCATTGAGACGTTCAGACCTGATTGGACAGCAGCGTGTCTCGGCTGAACTCCCCCTCAGGCCTCAGCAGCAGCAGCCTGCTCTGGAAGTTACCTCACCGCTGCAATTCAAGTGAAACCTCTCAGTTGAGCAACTTTAAAATCTCGAAATCTGTGACGCTGATGTTGTTCTGCTGCCACCGGAAGCGATGAAGCAACTCTGTGAGCGTGTCCTTACTGGTGCTGCAGTGAACGCATCATGAGAGGGAAAGTTTACCTCTCCAGCCACTTCCACTGCAGGAATCTGTTGTAGTACATGCTGTCGAGGTAGTCGGCGAACGGCGCCACGCTCAGGTAGTCGTGGATCAGTCTGGGGAAAACACAACAGTCAGCGTTCAGTCAGAAAACAAGACGCATGAATTCACCTTCATTACTCTGGATTCTCTTTATGTAGCTGCAGAACGCTGATTTATCATTTATGAAGCAAAACAGCTGAGAATTTGCTGTTTTTCTCAGTTTTCTGCGACTTAAACTGTGTTTTTATGACTTTATTGACCATCATTTTGAAAAATCTAACACTTTACAGACTAAACATTCAGTTCCTCATATAAAACAGTTTAAGCAGTTATAAAAAAATTTTTTAAAAAGAGGATAAAATATAAAAATATTGGGTGAATTTAAAATTAAAATATACTATTAAGGAAAACATTTGTTAAAAAAGACCTGTTGCTCCTGCCTGCTAGAAAAAAATGCGTTAAAAGTTGAAAATAACAGCAAATATCTGTAAAGTATTTACATTTCTAGCAAATTTAAATACAGTAAAACTCATTTTACAGCATCACATTCTGAAAGAATAAATTATTGTTTGTAAGAAGAAAAATACAGATTTATGATGAAGTGATTTAAAGTGTTTTTTTTTAGAGCTTACATGTAAATAATCTCTTTTTTTCTCTCTGTAAATTTATTGCATATTAAGTGTAATTTGAGAAAAAATAGAAAAGGAAATTTCTCAGTCCTTGAAATACACTTTTTTTTGTTTGTTTTGTTTTTTGGTCTGTAAAATAAAGGTTTTAAATTTAAGTGCAGTAAAAAAAAAAAAGAAAGAAAAGAAAAGAAAAAATAAGAAAAGAAAAAGAAAGTGTAATTTTACAGTCTAACAATGTAAAAGATGAGTTTACTTTTGTGGGGTTTTTTTTGTTTTTTTTTTACAGATATCATGTAAATTAATATTTTTTTGTGATTTCCAAAGATATTTTATTAATTTAAAAAAACAGTTAAAATCTGTAAAATAATAATAAATTGTTTTTTTTTTAAAAAATGTTTATCACTGGTAGTCATTCATGTTTTTGCTAAACTTAAGCACAAGGTCGAGAAAAAAATAAATAAATAAAAGAAACAGCAAAAGAACAAAATGAAACCCTGAAAGAAAACTTAAATTGTCGATGAACGTATTTATTTCTGCTCGAAGCTGAGCAGCTCTGCAGAGGTGTTTGAAAGCAAACATCTGGATTCATTTCAGATTTAATAATCTTCAGACAAAGCAGCTTTAGGGGAATTAACGGATTTATTTGAGACGGTTTTGATCGAGGTCACCGTCCGTCCGAAACACATGAAACGAATGAAACAACCGAGACGAAGCCGCAAACACTCCGGAGTCTTTGGGATTCGTGTCTTCATCGCTCCCAGACAAAGAAGCACAAGCAGGGTTTGTGGTGTTAAAGTCAGCAGCAAATGGTCTCGTCTGGTCGGCGGTTTGACTGTGAAACAAACGGGCCTCTGTGCTGCTGCTCGCCTACACAACAAGAATGAACAGAGCCGCCGGAGGATGTTGCTCAACGACACCGACGGCATCACTTCACTTCATCATCTGTTGCTCATCCCAGCCCAGAACCGCTCCGGAGCCGTGGTGGATGTTGTTCTAACCGCGATAACAAGGCAAGCTGACCTTTAAACGAGTAAAAATCCAGCATTAAAGGCCTGAAGCTTTTTTATTTAAGGTTAACAAAGAGCAACAGCATTTCGAAATTAAAACAGAGAAATGGGAGTTTTCCTCAATAGATATTGGAGAAAGTTCAAACTCGTCTTCTTTGGAGTTCAAAGTGAAGAAGTTTAACTCTCAGAAGCCGCCCGCCAAAAAGTGACGCTGTTTATCAGAAACAGAAACTGTAAAATAAAATAACATTTAAAAAAACAAAGCCAGTCGTTTAATTTTCAACTTTTCTACAGTCCTTGAACTAAACATCTGTGACTCTGTTGGGAAAATTAACCAAATCTGAGCTTATAAGTGGCGATGTTTCTCCTGAATCATTTCGTTCTACGTGTCTAATTTAAATATTAACCAAAAATAAACCATTTGTTTCAATCAGATTGTGTAAAAAACGAAACATTTTCATTGTTCAGCTGAACTGCAGCAGTGTTTCCACGGAGCAACGAGGAGACGAGGACGGAAACAACGAAACATGTATGAAGTAAAAAAAATATTAAAACTGATAGTATTAAAAAGTAATAAAGTTTTAAAAACTTTTAAAAGTATTGTAACTCATATAATGTGTAGGTCGAATTAAAATAAGAAAATACAAATGACGAGCTTTTCATTGTAGTTTGTTGCAATTTGCTGTTAGTTTACAAAATTTCCCTGTTTTACCAATAATGATTGATTTATTTTTTATAGTGTGATTGTAAAATTATACAATTTTTACAATATTCAAATCTGTTAATGTTCTTTTATTTGACAGAAACATGTCTATTATGCTTTTAAAAATAATGGAAAATTATTATTTTATTTTATTTATTATTATTATTATTATTATTATTATAACTATTTTACAGATTTTTCCTGTTTCATTAAAATATGGATAATAACTAGTAAAATCACAGGAAAAAAGTATTAACGTATATTAACTGCAAAACAAAACAAAATGCCAAAACAATAACAAAAAAATCTGTATTTTCACCAACAGTATTTTGTTTTTTAAAATGTGAGGCCAGAAATTTACAATATTTTACTGTAATTAAATCTGCTAAACATAATTTCTAAAAAATTCTTTCTTTCTTTATTTTATTTTATTTTTACAATTTTTGAGTCTTGTAGTATTCTGTTTTTAAACCTATTTTCACCCTGGATGCCAGATTTCCACAGGTTTTTTTGTTTTAAGATTTTTTTTTTCTTTTTTACAGTATAATGACTTGGTGTCGATTCAAAGTCCAACAAGTATCCAAAGCTCAGATTTAAAATATAAAAATACTTTATTATGGATAAACCAAAACTCTCTGATTCAAAAAACGTTTGTGTGTTAATAAAAGGTCGATCAAAACCACGAACGTCCATGAATAAGATGCGGGACAATCTTTATTTTATCTCAAGTTTTAAATGCGCACCAAAACAGACTGTAATAGTTATTCACACAAAAAAGCGCAATAAGGTGCTGAAAATTAGTTTATTTATTTAAAAGTCTGACTGTAAATGACCCCAAAAATAATGTTTTGCTTTTCCAGCCCTGAGCTGTGTCTGCAGGCAGTGGCTTAAAGGAGCCTGTCAGGACGAACTGAGGGCAAAATTTGCTGCTTTTGAAACATGTCGCCTCCATCCCCAGTGGAAATTCTGCCCTCGCTGTCGCCTACAGCTGATGGAAAAAATGCATGCTGGGATGTTTGTCTCCTCCCACATCAGTGCACAAGCAGCAGCTTCCACAGAAACCCGCCGAGGAAGCGACCGGACTCAGATGAGCCAACCAGAAATTTCACTCAGACGACCTAAAACAATGAATAAAAGGGATAAATGAGGTGGTCCTACTTGGTGCAGTCCTTGAAGAGCTCCTTGCAGGCATCCTGCTGCAGCCGCTCGGTGCACTGAGCCATCATGGCCTCCTCCACCTCGGACACTCGGTCCTCCGACTGCAGCAAAACAAACACAACGTTCAGGTGAACACGGCGGCTTCACAGCTGGGAAGATAGAAATCTGGATGAACGAGCTTTGGTTTTCCTCGAGACGCTGCATGTTCAGACTCGTATCGACACCCAGAGACAGAATCACAAAGTGCTTTACAGTAAACAGAAAATTACAGGAAACGAGGAATAAAAATCTAAATGAATCTAAATAAATGTGGAAAATCGAAAAGAAGTCACAGAAGATAATAAAACTAATATATAGCGTTAAAGTAATCTGTAAAAGAAAATAGTAATAAAAAAAATACTGCAATGTTTAAAAAAAACAAACTGTAAAAATAGGGAAAATAATGGCAAATATCTATAAAATAATATTTTTATGCGATTTAAAAACAGTGAAACTGTGTAATTTTATAGTCACACATTTTAAATCAGTATATGACTATTTGTAAAAACGGATTTCTTTTTAAAATTTTGACATTATGAACATTTTTCAATTTTTTTTTATTTTATTGCCATTAGCCTATAAATTAATTTCAAAAATTAAAAAAAAAAGAATCTTTCTGTAATTTTACGAGATAATACATAATAACTATTATTTACCGTTTTTCAATCCATTTTTTTATTTTATTGATTTATTTTTAACAAATATTGCCAAATATTGATATACATATAGATATTTTTGCTAATTTATATTTAACTACATATTAAGTGTCATTTAACAAAACAGCGGGAAAAAATGTGTAAATTAAGTGTCCCAAAAAAGTACCTGGGACTTTGTGTTTTGATCTAAATATTCTAAATATATATATATATATATATATATATATATTTTTTTTTTTTTTTTTTTTAAAGCGTAGTTTGACACAAACAAACAAATTTCCATTTGTAGAAATACATATTTTTTTGTCATTTACAGTTTTGGCCTTTTTTAAAAACTTAACATCTAAATTAATAAATTTTTTTTTCTGTGATTTTCAAAGCTGTCAGCTCGAATTGTCTCTATACAGGTGAAAATCTGTAAATTAACACCAAAGTGTTCAAAAAGTTCGAGTTGCAAATTGAATCAGAATCACGTTATTCTACATGCGTCATCTAAAAATTCACCAAAAATAAATTACTTGCTTGAACCATATTCCGTAAAAAAAAATTAAAATTCTGAGCTCCTCGGTGAAACAGGGAATCCATGACTGACTCGACCGACAGTCACGAGTTCTCGCCTGATCTGCAGCCAGTGTTTGTGGTGGATCGTGGTCAGCTCGTCTTAACCAGCCGCGGCATCTTAATCACACATCAAGCATTTCATAAAAACAGCAGCTACCTTTGGGTCGAAGTATTTGTCGATGAGTTCCTGGCCGCACTCCTTCCTCTTCTCGTCCGGCGTCACCTCGTAGTCGGCCTAAACATGAAAACACACAAATCAGCTGCAGGCTTCGTTAACATCACGTTCATCAACGGAAAGAAACCTAAAATCATACACAATTATCAACGTGAATCAGCAACAAAACAACTGAGACAAACACGCAGCCAACATTTACAACAAGGCGAGCTAACGCTAACGCAACAATGCTAACACAGGCGATGTGGATGCTAGCAGCAGCTGCTAAACTAAAATTAGGACTTACACATGTCAGATCTTATAGATTGGCTGCAGTACCTGGTTGCACCACCAGGTGGAAACTCGTACTTATTAATGAAGTAGCGACCGGATTAGAGAGGCAGTTTTGTGTTAGCAAGCAGAGATTATTTGAGCTAATTAGTTAACAAAGGGGCACCATGACAAAGTCTTATGTGACGCTTAATGACATCCAACCTTCGTACATACATTAAATAAAACCAGAATTAATGAGGCTAGCATCAAAGTGACGCTGTGTAAAAGCAGCTGGTGCAGTTCGTATCACACATCCACAGCTTTAAATGTGTTGTTAAATCCAGGAAGCTTCATTTGCACCATAAACTCGTCTATTGTTGCTTGAAAATGCCGCAGCTCTTCAGAAACTTGCTCAGAATCGTAACATCTGTGTAACAGCGGACGTAAACAAGAAAACACATGATGTTACTGAGCAGTGATAAAGAAATTCACAGTTGGAATTAGTTACGCTTCTGCAGTTTAGACTTCATTTATTTCTTGATCGTGTCTTGTTTATTATATGCAGGAGGAAGTGCTTTGAATTTAAGAGTTGCCACATCGTTGTACGTCCACATTTTGCACATTTGTTCCAACAAAGTCCACGTCTTCTCAGCAACAACAGGGAAATTTATCAACACGTCAGGCTTTCTTTGCTTTTTTTACAGTAAAAACCTGCTTTAATCTTTATTTTTTGACTCCATCTTTCTGTTTGTGCGTTAAATCCAAGGACTTGCCTTTTTGAGGGATTTGGGGGATTTTGCATCCGCAAACATTTTGCATCCAAAGATAAACAGAGGTAGAAAATCACCACAAACACAGCATTACATTTAAAAAAAAGAACACAAATCAGCCAAAAGAGGGATGTTTAGTGTCTAGCTGAGTGTCGCTAAACCACTTTTCAGGCAGACGAACACTCGCGGTGGGTGGAAGTGAAAAAGTGGAGATAAGTCCCGGTTGGAGATGAAATAGTGGCGACGATACGATGACAGCGATGTTACATTTGTCCACTAAAAAACCTCTCTGGCGTTGACTTCGGAAAACCCAGTTCAGGCTTTAACTGGGCAGTTTTTTGGTGTCCACGCCCTCCATCCACTCGCTGACCCGCGGTAAACCGAGCCTGACTGGAAAGCGCCGGAGTGCTTCCTCGGCCTGTAAACCAACGCTAAGTGACAGCGCAGACGGTTCAAATCTCATTTCGCCTCTCGCAGAGCTCTCAGGCCAGACGGGAAGCGGTTGCCGAGTAAAGCGGCGCAGTAATTGGACGGCTGAAAGCTCGGGCCGAGCCGCTGAGTCAGACCCGAGCGGCGGAGGTTCGGTTCATTAACCTCCCCGCCGCCGGTTGACCTTTAATGCAGCCGATGGCACTCAAGACCGGGCAGCTGGAGGATCACTCTGCGGAGGTAAAATATTGATCCCCCCACGCTCCCCGGCGGTTTAACTCATCTTTCCTGACGGGATTTTAAACCTGAGCGAAGGATGTCGTAAAACACAGCGGCGCAAATCGTAAACCCGCTTCAGAGGCTGCATTAGAAGCATCAGAATAAGAAGT